TAGAATTTGGATGAATCCTGATAATTCTGCTGGAGCAATTTTGAAAATTTGTTTTCTCTTGAAGTTGCCTATTAATGTCCGTTCCTGAACATTACGCTCTTTAGCTGTGGTTGTATACTTGCACTCATACAATTTCAGAATTGCCAAAGGTCTTAGAGATGAACAGGGTTTACATAATTATGTGTTCAACACTTAAACTTCTCCAAACTCAGTGCTGCAAAACTTGTGTTATGGTTTCAACCTACAGTGTCTCCCAAAGCTTCATGTCTGCACAGCTGAGTTTTTGGACCATGTGGATGCCACTAATGAATCCATAGCTAAAAGCACTGTTAGGAGATGGACTGGCTGGAAACAGGGTGGCAGACCTAGAAGGGCGTATCATCCTCCCAGGCCCCTCCCTTCTCTCTCTGCTTCTTGGTCACCAGGATGCAAGCAGCTTTCTTTCATCAAGCTCATGCCATTCTGGAGTCAGCAGACCACGGACTGAACAGAGGAACCAAAATAAGCCTCTCCTCCTTTACGTTACAGGTGTCAGGTTTTTCTGGAATAGGAAAGTGACTAAGACAGTTTGTCACTAGGATACTGTACCTGCGCTAGAGAGAGATGCCCAGATCTCACCCATTAGAAAATATCTAGAATAGTGTCACAGACAAATGAAAATCCAAAATGGATACTGCCCAAGGGTGCAATTTGGTGTTAGTCGAGACCGTTACACATAGAGTGGGTTCATAATGACTGAAAACAAGCACTTTTGGGGTATGATCTAACCTCATAGCTGGGAGACCAAGCCTGGGGCGATATGTGATATGTGGCAAAAACAACTCAGTGATATGAATGCTGGCTGCTGTCACAGCACTTTTGGGAAAAAATATTCACAGTTCTGTTGGCTAGAAAAATCTTGTTTCATTTACACAGGATTTGTTTTTCAGAGGATCGCATCCTGTATTCATTTGCCTGAGATGGTCCACTTAAGGAAGAGTAAACAGATGCAAAGCCATCCAATTCACCGTGCCCTTTGCTTACCCATTTTTCATAAATATTATGACTATCTCCTCCTAAATAGAAGGCAGAAAAGTTGCTAGGGACGAAGGTGGAGGTGAAGCCAAATCTCATTTTGTTCCTTTTGCCCGTAATGAGGGACAGTACTTTCGGGTTTCTTGTATTGTGATTTCAGTTAGAGAAACACCGCAATCCTCCCTCTTCTTCACAGCAGTGGAGTTGGGATCAGGGTGACATCTCAGTAGAGAGTTTGGCAACGTGCTACAAGGTATAATCAAAATGGTGTTTGGTGTGTGTTTAAGTTATTTAAAAAATGATTCCCGTGAAAGTCACACTGCCATGAATCCTTCTTAAAATCCTCCCCCTGGCTTAAAACACACTCACTCATTACTCCTGCCACTTTCTGAAGCAGTACACTCGTTTGTGAGTGTGTTTATGAGGCATGATCAATAATATGGTGAATGTTCCTGCCAACTTCTATTCAGCGGCAATGCAGGCTGGTAAAATATTACACTTTGCACTCAGCCACTTTATTTATTATTAGATTTGGCACCATGCAACTTCTGGGTCTTCCCCAAAAGAATAAAAAAAAGGTAAATGTTTTGAATCGATTTAGGAGATGAATATAACCACAACCGCGCAACAACAGACACTCAGAAGACTTCCAAAACTACCTCCGGAAGTGGCACAAATGATGAAATAAGTGAATTTGTTTCATGGGTGGTTTGGGGGGTGCTTTTAGGGGGAATCATGGCAGTGTGTCTTTTACTGTCATAAATTTTTAAAAATTTAAAATTCACTGTATTTTCCATCACACTGCTTAGACCCTCAGCTTAACCCACTTGCTTGTGTAAACCTGCTGACCTGCATAGAGGGCCTACCCCACAGCATTCACAGGGCAGGCTTTGTCCTTGTGAGGACTCAGTTGGGTCAGAAGTGTCACTTAAAGAAACCTTTGGGGCCACAGATACAAAGCTCACAGCCCTCAATCAACTTATTCCAACAAAGCTGACAGATACCCTGATTTCATTAGTCTTCTGCATCAATGGGTGGGTGTAGCACCCAGGAGGATGAGACAAGGGGGTGCATTGGCTGCTTAAGAGAAGATTTGGCTCAGAATAGCTTCCACAGCCAAGAATACAAGCTTATGCTCTTCGACTTCTGCCACTAAATGACCAAAGCCCTATGAAGCCTAAATCTCCACTGTGCGGATACACACACAGTTTGACCTCATGAACAGGAAGAATGCCAAGCTAAATATAATGAACTGACTCATAAATTTGGAAGAAGGCAACTCTCTGCTTTCCATAGGAGGGTTCTCCTTGGTTTCTAGTACCAGTCCTCATATTAGCTGGTTTCCCTTTACCTTCACAGAGTTGGGACTCAACTCAACTAAGTCCTCATGGTGGTGACCATAGGAAGAATTCTTGGAGGATTCATGTGTATGATTTTGTGTTTTAACATTATGAACGAAAGAAAGAACTCTGTGAACACAGAGCAAAGATAGAGAACCATGAAACTCCATGCCCTCCAGGTGCCAATTGCTAACATTCATTAATTCTATGTATTTCTTATCAAATGAAACATCATTGCCTATAGAGGTCCTCAAGGAATTTAGTTTAATGGAATGATAGCAATGACTGCAATTAGAACTTAATTGTGTTTATGTAAATATGCTTAGGGGAGCCTTGATAGCTTATGGTTGCTACGTTCACCCAGAATTTTGGCCTGTATTAATTTGTACTATTATGAAGAAAGAGTTTGTTAATCAAAGATAAACTATCCAATGATTTTGAAGTAGCAAACTTCAAATTACGGTAGGATAATGAAGCAGTGCAGTGCACATATATAATTCTCTACTAAGTAAGACGCTTTCTGTCTGGCCACGCAGGAAATCTCCTTATTGAAAGATTTATTTTTAATTTTGAGCAGCTTCCCAGCATCACCCTTCACAAAAATTAAAATAAGGAGATGGAATTGAGTCCTAATCTGCCACCTCCTAGCAGGATGCACACCATGGAAGAGAGGAGGGAAAATCATTCTGTTACAGGAATTACCTGTGTACTTTTCTGCTAATCTAAGAAAAGGTATCTATATTTTTAATAAAATCTTTGACTTTTTTCTCTCTTTTATTTACTTTTTTCTCTGCTCCAGGAATGTTTCTGCACAGCTTTTCGTGTTTTTAGTATGTTTTCTCCATGCTCTTTAGACCTGTGCGCCTGATATGGGTTCATATCTCTTGGCTTGGGTCCTGAAGTACACTACATGAAGAATCAGGTTGAAGCTTCCACCTATAAAATCTGTGGGAGCAAAGCCCGGGCTCAGCCTGTCTCACAAGGGTTTTCCTCTGCCAAATAAAACTACTTCAGATGTCACCTTGCGAAGTGAAATCCTCAGTAGTTCTGATCCTACTTCTAAGTCAGTCAAGAGACAATATTCTGACATGTTTGTGGAGAGGCCAAAAATGTAGTGAGGATACTGATGGGGACATAAACTAGAGGCTCCAGGGAAGCACATATCGTTCCGAACCACGAAGATCCTTCTAAGTCACACAAGAGAAGCACCAATGTGAGGTTCTGGGGTGTGTGTGGTCTTCACTGATAAAAGGTTGGCTACTGCAGAATGCTTACAAGGTCACTTTAAGGAAAAAAAATCCTACTAAATTATTCTTGTCTTTTAAGAAAAAATGAAACTAATGATCGCTGACAGTGTTCACAATCTAAAAGAGCAGAATTAAATGCCAAAAGCCAAATGAGCTGTTCACACAATATATTGGAAACAACTGAGGAGTTCTCAGTAAAATTCACTGTTCCAGCCCCAGTTCAGAATATTCCCAAGTCTTCAGTTTAAAAAAAAGTTTTCTTTACTGCATCAAATTCAATAGAAAACGGAATGTGTTGCTCTGGATAGGACTCCAGAATACTTTTCACTAAAGGATCAAATAGTACAGATATTTTCCTTAACTATATGGGGTACATCTCCCGAAGCATTCATTGAGAATGAGGTGTCATTCCAGGGAATAGGATTGTTGGTAATTTAATCCTCTTGTAGTGATGTTTGTCACAAAAAGCATCACAAAAGGATAAATCAGGCTGTGCTCTTGCTCTGTTTGTCTATCTGTCTCTCTTTCCCTATCCTTCTTTAATGTTTTAGAAATATTAAGGGACCAGCAATGGCAAACACGTGATATGAAAATTTTTTCAGGAAATAAATATAGATGAGAAGATCAGGAACCAGAGCCTCTAAGCCAGATTTTAAAAATATTTGCCATTCGGGATTTTGTGATAGTTCTGTGATTAATTCAGGAGAAACTTCAAAAATGGAAATTCTTTCTTGTTCTCTGTATTACACAGAAGAATTAAGACATGGAGTGTATCAGGCATTCCCTGATCCCAAAGTCAATGACAGATTCAACCATAAAAGTGGTTGCAAAATTAGTGTTAAATTTAAGGCAAATTCTGTTAGTGACACAAAATATTTTCATCATGATTCTAATAAAGACCCCTATTGATAATTTGTAATACATTACATTCAAGAAGATCAAACTACAACTCCAAGTGCTTCTGTGAGAAAATACCAGTTTAGCACTGTGTATTAGTAAAAATCAATTTCATTATTCAATACATAATCTGTAAGTGCTGATGCGCAGCCATGAACTTTGTGGTTAACGTGGCAGATATGAAGCCCAGCAATGCGTAGGTATGCTCAGTAGAGTTTACCCTCTCCCAGTCAGACATTGTCAGATTCTCCATTTTATCTCGGACACCTGGTACCGGACATGCTATGTAGTTAGCATCCCAAAAATGAAAACAAAAAAATCCCCAAACAAATTAATATTTGCTAAATCAAAAATGTCCAAGTATCTTTTATATTACAAAACAGTTTCCATGTTTATAATTGGTTCCACTTCACCTGCAGAATTTTAAAACCACAGGTGATCACCATAAGCCCTTTTCCCTATAGAGTATCAGATCATGAAATACAAAGGATTGGATTCCTACCTGCTTGGTTGGTTGTCACAGTGACAGACACTGATTGGTCTGGACTTGGGTTATACTTGGACACTCCATTCACGGCCCAGATTTCAAAAGTATAGTTGGTGTGTGCCAGGAGGTCAGTGATGGAGACTTTGGTTGTTTTCAGGCCATTCTGCTGTGGGGTATAGTGGACCCCACTTCCACAGGGTCGGCACTTGCTGGGGTCTCCAGCTCCACACTTCTTGCAGACCACATTGTAAGAAATGTCCTGACGGCCACCTGTGCTCTGAGGACTACTCCATTCCAAGTTCACTGATGTCTCATTGACATTTGAAATCAAGTTGAGGGGAGCAGATGGTGGGCCTGGGGAGAGAAAAACATCCCATCACACCAGGAACTGAAATATATCCCTCTGGAATCTCTCAAAGTTTGCACTATTCTCTGTAGTTCCAGGAAGCAAGATGGGCCCACTTAGCAAAGAAAGAAAAAAGCAGAGAAGACAACAACAAAAAAAGATCTCTTAAAAGAACAATATAACAGTATGATAGAAGCCTGTTAGCATCAGTGTACTCTCTTTCCTGTACACACAAACCCAGCATCAATGTCCACCTGGAATTGTGAAGCAACACTACAGCAATGAGCCCCATGCCAAGGTATTCTATCTCTTTGGCACGAAAATAGCATAATTTACCCAGTCTCTATCTTATCTTCTGAAAAACGGGAACATAAACATAATTCCAGTTTCCAGCACTATTGTGGTAATTTACTCTGGTAAATTAATAGTTATAAACCTCATTGGAAGACAAATTATGATTCCTGAGAAAAATATGTTACCAATAGCAAATGTTATAGCTTGTGTCTAGATGTCCCTCCAAAGCCTCATGCAGTCAAGCAGGTGTTTAAGTGGTGACTGAATCTAGAGTTTGTGACTGATTCATAACGCAGTGCTGGGATTAAGGCTGGGTGATTGCTGGATCACTCCACTGATTGGATTGACGCCTTCCTAATCCTACCAGTTTGGATAAAAAAAAAACAGGGCAGAAAGAAACTTTTCCCCACCTTTTTCTCTTATTGCATTTGCTGTTTTTCTACTGCCATGAACTGCAGCCCCTCTGCCATTGCCACCCTGTCTATGGATGAAACCTTCACAAACTGAGAGCTTATAAATAAACCTTTCCTCCTGTAACTTTGCATGTTAGACCAAGACAGCAACTTAAATGAAAAGAAACGTACAAATGTGCTTCTAGAGTTCAATATGGAAGTTGAGGGTTACACTGTTGATAGCTAATTAATAGGAACTACTTTAACATAGTTGGAGAGATATCCAAGATACAGCTGTTGAGATAAGGCAAGGGACTGTTCAGGAGACCAAGAAAACTCCTTCAGCCCTTTAACTGATTGGGGCTGTACTGGGCCATTTATAAACATGCCCATTTCTACTGATGTCAGTGTCTGAAATAAGAATGGTGGTGATAATTATCATGAAAAGCAACAGCTAATCGCTAATAGCATCATGGTTGGTTTAAAAATAATGATAAAAGGTAACAATATAAACCTTTTATACACCAAGAACTTGTGACCCAAATTGCTACCAAGTGGAAGACTCAGTTTGGGAGAAGGAAGAAGGAATTTTCTTGGTCTAAATTAGTTTCAAAGACACCTGTAACATTCAAATGAAAAATCTTTAGACAATGTGACAATTGACAGCTCTTTCTTTCCTATTTTGATCTTCCAAGTGAAGAATCAAAATAAGTTTCAATGAAAATCTGCAGTTTCTCAACCACGATATCTACAGAATTGCTGGACTACTGAGGAGGAATGTTGTGAGAGAAATTTTTACACATCTTTCAGGCAGAAGAAGTTAACTGGGGCTTGCATGAGCTCGATGCTTTACCTAGTCAACCACAATGTCACGTATGGTTCCAAAGTACTCACTGAGAGAGAACTGGAGAAAGTAACCTATGAATAAGGATCCATATTCAATGTGTATCAGTTCCTTTGCAGTGATGAATGGAGGCAAAGCATCTTGTTAATAACATTTCATATCTCCCACCATACAGCTTAACTGCAGACTTAATTTGAACCCGGCAATAAACAGGGTTTCCCAGTGTCCCCTGAGACTAATTACCAACAACTTCTCTTAGCATTAAGATTGGTTCTGTATCCTGTGTACCTTAATAGAAAAATCTTTAAAAAAATTTAACAAAGTGCTGTAAAATCTGTATTAAATATAAATCCTACCTCACTAAGGTTCTCACAAAGAAAATATAAATTTCTTTCCTTGTTTAGAGTTCAAGATTGTATTTATGGTCTTTAGTACAGGGGCTGGAATATATGAGGATAAATAACTGGCTTTTGAGTAAATGAGGAGAGTTACTTAAAATCACAAACTCTTGAACCACATAGGATGTTAAAATCCTTTTGTCAAATACTCTCATTTTTTTTTTTATTGGTAGCAGAGATCGAACTCAAGGCCACGCGCTTAAAAGGCAGGCACTTATGCCACTGAGCTAAATCCCCTCTCATTTTTAAAAATAAAGGAATTGAGAACCAGAAAGAGGATGTGGTAATATTTGAAGCTTATCAATCTAATTTGTAACAGAATTTCACTAATTCCCAGAAGGACAGCCACCAATCCTGAACTCCTTCTACTCTACCATGTGTTCCCTGTTGAAGTTTGAAGCTAGGAAGCCAGGATGCCTGCGTTCAAGGCTGTGCTAATTCTGTCATGCTTGCAGCCATGGTGACATCTGTCACCAGTATGCAACTGATGCTGGCCACTGTGTGGCTGTGAAAGTGGGTCAGCCCCTGGTTCTTATTTTTCTGTGACTTCCAGGGTTAAGTAAGAGTGACTCTGAAATCCATTAACCTCCTTGCCAAGGTTCTTGGTCCACTTTCACATGGGAAAATGTGACACGATGAATCAAGCATGGCAGAAGCAAAAAGTCAGTCATTAGTATGTAGAATCCGGTGCGGTAGTATCTAAACAGAGAAGAAATGGAGCAGAAAACTACACGGTCACAGGACTCCGAGATACAACAAAACCACGTGGAAAACAAAACACAAAGATGCTGCAGGGAGGCTCTTGGTGCAAAAACAAGTGCCAGCTTGTAACAGTCTTCTTACCTGAGCAGTGATATTAAAAGAAGTCCTAGAGGGTCAATGCGCAAGGAAGGACTGATACCAGGACGAGTTCAAGCTCACCTCTATGCCACCAGTGGTTTGGACCACTGTACTGCAGGTGTTTTATGCTCTGCTCTCGTGGAAAATGCGGGTTATAGGAGAACAAACTAGCACCTACAAACTGAACTATGACAAGGCCAGAAGACAGAGGAGAATATGAAGTAAGCAATGTGCACCCTGGATGATTATATTCTCAGGGTTTGGGCCATGCTTTACAAATTAAAGTCGTAGTAGAAGTTGTGGTTTCTTTAACTCTTGCCAATTAAAAGATGATAAATGTGTAACAAGTGTGTTTCTCATTTGTAGTGAGAACCCGTCTCTGCCCCAGAAAAGAAAATGTTCTGTTCTGAAGAAAATGAGAAAAAAATACGCACTTGCATGCAGCCCAAAGCCAAGCTGGGTTCAGAGTTATAATTAACAGCCACACCTTCAAACAATTAGTTGCAGCAATGGCTACAAAAGGGGAAAACTGGCATTCTGACCCAAGTTCTTTCAGTCAAGCAGCTAAAGGCAAAAACCTTAACTCTTAGATTATTTTCTCTTCCATTTTCATCAGGCCTGTATCCCAATGTTTAGGAGCAATTAAACTTCTTACAGAGCAGCTGTCTTTCTCATCAGCAATATGCTCACCTGAAAGTAAGTTTCCAGTTTCAAATTCAGTGCGGCCTGTGTGCCCATGGGTTCCAAGCCCGTGGATCCAACCAGCCCATTTAAAGTATTTCTTTAAAAACTGCATCTGTATTGAACATGCATAAACTGTTTTCTTACCTTTATTCCCTAAGCAATACAGAGTAACTATACCACATCTATGTTGAATTAGATATTATAAGTAACCTAAAGATGATTTTAAGAGAATAGGAGATGGGTGTAGGTTATGTGTGAATGCTATAACCTTTTAAGCAACTCAGGCATCCTTGGGTTTTGGTATCTAATACGGCTCCTGGAACCAATCTTACTAGACATCGAAAGACAACTCTGTAAGGTTTACAACCCAGTGAGATAACTGTATGAGTTGGTCTAGTTTTCTAGTTTCCATGCCAACTGACAACAAATTAACATCCATCAACTTGAGGAATCTGGAAGATTAAGGTTTTATGCTTTTGAATCTATCCGCTACTAGCCTGAATATAAGCTGGCAGCATATGCTAGTTATAGCATTGCTCCGTATTTCAGTTCCTTACTTCTATGTCCTACTATGTTTGTGGTACCTAAAGGTGCCCTTGCTTTCTATCTCCAGTCTACATGCTCTTATCCCAGTGTCCAGCTTAGAGAAAATTCAATCAGTGTTTGATGGGTCTGTCCATAAAAGAATGAATGAATCAATCAATCAATAGAAAATGAAAAAAAAGCCCTTGAATGCATTTTAATACCTACCCACCTCTAGTGCTACGAAATATGTGAAAGAATGCAGACTTCTCTGAGCTAAATCTGTACTAGTCAGCTTTTCACTAAGTTTTATTAGCATTAAGCCTATAAAAGATGATCTGAGTAGGATGATAAGTTCAAATTCTTCTTAGTAGGGAAAGCTATATCAAAAATTCCTGGACACTTCTGTTGGGTGGTACTGGGAACTCATTCATTCATTCATTTATTCATTCATTCAACAACTATTACTGAGTATCCAGTGTTTGTTACTGATGGGGGGGGGCAAGAAAGAGTTAGAGAACTCATTCATTGTTATATTTTCCTTTCCTGATCACTTTCTGGATAGTAGAAAGTAGGGTCAGGGAGATTAGAGGAAAAGTTTAAAGGAGAAAGAAATAAAAATATATATGCATTGGATATACCTACTACCAACCTGACAGGCACCTGCTCTGTCCTGTTTTTATAGATTGAACAACCTGTCACCGACAGCTGGGATGGTGAAAGTGGTCTCTAAGAATTAAGATTTTGTCAAGTGGCAATTGGCTATTACAATTTTGCCTTCTCCACATTGATTTCAGGTGATGGTTTACTTAGGCATGCAGTTAGGAAGGAACATTCCAAAGAAAATTATTTCTTACATTTCCAAAGAAGGTTGGCATTTTCCTATTACTGTCTAGAGAACTATAGATTTTTCCCCTTTAAATATATTTTTATCATCAAAATTAATCTGTCATTTTACAATATAAATTAATCAAATATTGAAGTATATTTAAGGAGAAAAATATTCTTCCTTTACATTTTGGATTATACTTATG